GCTAAAGCCAGCCCAATCCTGCCACTTTGTCAGTCAGTCAATAAACATTTATTAAACACCTACTGTGCACCCTGCACTATCCTAAGTGCTGAGGATGCAAAGAAAGACAAACAGCCCCTGCTTTCAAGGAGCTCACAGTTTGATGGGTGATGACAACACACAAGAGCAAAGTAAAAAGCAGAAAACCGAGGGAGAGGCCCTGCCCCAGCAATGATGAAATCCAGGGACATGCAGCTGGGCAGGAAGTGGTGAGATGATCTCCTTGGGCACCCTCCTTAAATGGAGGATGTGGGAGGAGTTTTCCACCATTCATCCTCCACCCTCTCCAATCAGAGGAAGGGAAGGGCCCCAGAGTAGTGTGTCAAGTGAAATGAGACCTCAGACCTCAGACCTCAGCGCTCTCCTGTAGGTAATTACTCTGAGCCACAATCTGTATGACATGATGTCTTGGAATAAGGTTACCCTTTTGAGTGAAAATGAATTAGAGTCAAAAGAAAAAAGGGGTGAGACACGTGATGCTGAAGCTAGACTAGGAGGATGCATCACAGCTGATCCGCCTCAGGTGAGCATTCTCCTGCCTCCATCTAACTCCCATAACTAGGGGCTGCTTCCTTCAAGAATGCCCTATGTGTTTCTGGAAAGAAGCAGCAGAGTGTAGTGAAAAAAGCAGGAGTCAGAGAAGCTTGGATTTGACTCCTGGCTCTAATACTTTCTAGCTGCATGACTTTGGGCAAGTCACTTAATCCTCATTTTGCCCATCTGCAAAATGATAAGACTAGTACTTTTGTTATTTCCCTTACTGGCCTGTGAAAGATAAAACATTATTTAAATTTGGATTTTTATTGTAGTATCAGGGGGCACCCCACGCTGTATTCACATAGTAGGTCTCCATGACAAGGCTACCCCAGGTTCCAGGTTCTCTGTGGATCCATAGTCAAAATCATCATTCAAAAACTCCAGTATACAATGCATTTATGTAACTAGTCAACCAGGAGACCCAATTAGTTTAAAGCAAAAACATTTGGTATATAGTAAGAAAAGTAGTAACAAAACATGCACCACTTCCCAATCTGAATAATACAAACTTTCCCACAAATACACCATTGAGGGAAGGGTAGATAACTGGTAAGGAACATATATGTAAAGACATGCACATAGGCAACATGTGTGGTCAGGACACTCACATGGAGTGGCAACTCATGCAGAACATTGGATATCTTTTGTTGACATAACTTTGCTACTTCTGCCAGGCCTGCCCCATCCCCATTAATTTCTTACAGCATGCAACCACATTGTACTCTGCCATATATAGTGTCTCTGCCAGGTGTATGAGTACGGCATTTAGCCTGTTATGGGAATGGCTCTTTGCTGCCTCACCGGTTTCGTGCTTGTGCCAGACATTTCTTTTATGAGTCTTCTCTACTTCCAGCTTTTGGTTTCAACTGGAATTCTCAAATGACATGTTCACTTGCCTGTGAGGAAGACGAGACTCTGCCCAGACTATTTTTGGTTTTTGCTTTTATTTGTTTGTTTGTTTTCCCACAAGAATAATCTTTATGTGAGAATACCAGAAGCTTTGCCAAAATCGAGGTAAACTATATCTCCAGCATTCTGCTTATCTCATAGTTAAGGAACCCTGACAAAATAGGAATGAGGTTAGTCTGATATGACCTATTCTTGGTGAAACCATGCTGACATTTTGTAAATTTCTGTAACCCTTTCTAGATATTTGTTAGCTATCTCTTTTCTAAAACTTCAATTTTATTTTATTTTCAGTTTGAAGCGCTCTTCCTCCCTTGCACCCATTGAGGCAGCCATTGAGAAGGCAAGAAGAACAAAGCCCATTACAAATAATGTATGGTCGTGCAAAAAAAGAAATCTGCATTAACAATGTCAAAAAAAAAAGAAGGAAAAGAAAAGATACTTTGATCTGCACTCTGATTCTTTGCTACCACAGAAAGAGTTTCTATAAATATTTTTGTATATATGTGTCCTTCCCTTCTTTGATCTCTTTGGGATATAGATCTAGTTGTAGCAATATTTCTGGGTCAAAGGGTATGCACAGTTTAATAGCTTTTTTGGACATAGTTCTAAATTGCCCTCCAGAATGCTGAAACAGTTCGTAGCTCTACCAATAATGCATTAAAGTATGTACTAGTTTTTTCACAGCTGCTCCAGGATTTGTCATTTTCCTTTTTTGTCCGCTTAGCCAATCTGATGGGTTCATACCCATTTTTGAGGTGGTACCTCAGAGTTGTTTTAATTTGCATTTCTTTAATTATTAGTGACTTTTTTTTTCATATGCTACTCATAGCTTAGATTTCTCCCTTGGAAAACTGCCTATTCATATTATTTGATATAAATTGGGGAGTGACTCTTATTCTTATAAATTTGATATGGTACTTGAATTTGATTTAGTACTTGAATTCTTTGTGACTGCTTGAAGTCCTTTTTCCTTGACCTGAGAGCTCTAGGTTTTGGCTCTAATATTCCTGGAAGTTTTTATTTTGGGGTTTCTTTCAGGAGGTGACTGGTGGATTCTTTCAATTTCTGTTTTGCCCTCTGGTTCTAAGATAGCTTGCCCAGACTATTTTTTTTGCTGTAACTCCTTTAGAAAGGCCAGATGTTATACTCTTATACATTGTTGGAGTGGGGGTGGGGGAGAATCCTTGTAATTTTTCTCCCATGAGAGGGGAGGGGATGTGCTTATTACTTTAATCCTTTTGGGAGTTTAGATGCTTCTTCTCCAGAAGATTCCTTGATCTAAGTGCCAAGCTCTTTAGAATACAGAGCCACCCCAGATAACCAATGAAGTGCTTTCGGACATAATAAGTTCGGAGAATGTCTTTCAGAGGCCTTACTCTGATTTAGAGTTAGAAATTCCTGTGGCTCCTTGCTCAATTTCCCATTGTTAAACTGCATCTTATCATCATCAGTTTAAAGCCTGCCTTCAGAGGCAACTTGCCAAACATTCTCTGGGTTTAGAGACCTCTCAAGTTTTCAACTGAAAGATTCTTCTGGTCTCCTATGGAAATCAGTAGAAATGGGAAAAGTCATGGGAACAAAACTAAACCTGGAGGCAAGGTCATTATCTTTCTCTATCACATTCCTGGCCTATATTATTCTAAAAGTACAAAGTTAGAAAATATGACTAAAGCCAGACTAGTTTCCTTAGGAATATTTCCATTCTACACCATTTTCTGAATCACATTAGTTTTGCTACTTGATACCTATGGAAACAAGTGACTAAGAATAATTTCAACAAGAAATTGGAGTTTTCAATGGAAAAAAAAATGATCTCCCTTTATCTTTGGGCTGGATGAAACAGATGGCTATCATTCCTCATTCTTTGGGACATGAAATTCTCACTTGGCTTCCATCAAGAAGAGTTTCAAGGCTAAGAACACAACTAAAAAGTTTCATTTCAGTTTAAGAATACAAGATAGGGTCTTGTATGTAGTAAGTGCTTTAATACCTTTGTTGAAATTGTGGTTGGATTGAATTTGTAGCTCCCTTATTGCTCTTTTCCAAAATTCTTTGTCCTGTGGATATTTGTGTAAGAGTCTTTAGCATCCCCAACTAGACTATGGTCTCTCTCTAGCCAGAGATTGTTTTAATTAGTCTTTGCATCCCAAATAGCACCTTGCATAGACTAGGCTCTTAATAAATGGTTATTGACTGAATAAATGAATGATGGGAATACCAGCAAAGACCTGGGAGACAACATATAAAGTGACTGGAAAGAGCATTGGATCTGAATTCAGAGGATTTGATTTAATATTCTGTCTCTGACACTTAATACCATGTCTTTTAATCTGTCTGAGTCTCTCTATTTTCTCATCTGTAAAAGGAAAGGTTTGGAATAGGTGTCCTAATTTAAGGTCCTTTCCAAGTGTGAAGCTATGATCCTATGACCCTTTGCTTCTTTGGAAGTTCAAAAAACTCTTCCACATCAGACTCACTCTTTAAATCAAGCTCACCCATACCTATCACCCAAGGAGACATCCCATCTGGTCCAGCTGATAAGTGTTATTCCATGAACCTCCAAAACAATTGTTTTTAACTTTCTTGGTGAGAAAATAAGAGTGAAATGGTCATAAAACTAGGCTACCCATTTTATCTTCAGAGAGTATGTTGTTTATTAGACTTCTTTTTAAAGTATCACATCTTTTCTATTTGTACTTCTCTACCATAGATGTCTCCTAGTCGGGGTCATAAAGTATTTTCTTTTTCTTCTCTCTTTAAATATTTATACATTCTATGTCCAGTAAATAAATGCAAGCATCCTGGTCATTTTATTAAGGTTAATGTATGCAATATCACTCAGAAGACATGGCATCTTACCTCCCACCCCTGACAAATGCTCAATCTGTTAAAGACATAGTCACAAATAGGAAAATGACACACAGGAAGAGCAAATTAGCAGTGTTATGAGAACCTCTATATTTCTTGACATTTTTAGAGTTGACATTTTCAGCTTTAACATTTCCTCAACAAGGCATTTTGCATTTAATAAGTTCTGGGATTGGGAGTTTTCTTCCCCAGAGGCCAATACTGGCTGCAGTTGGCAAAGCCGGCTGCATCTAAAATGTTGGGGGTAAACCAAGGACGTTTTCCTCAAGCATCCAGGCCTTATTTAATTAAAAGATGTCATTTTATGATTCTCTCTCCTTCCAGCTCTTAGCATCAATAGACTGACAAAAGGAAAAGAAAACATCTCCAGATATTTCTGAAGTGGGGATTTCAAAAAGTGATTTTTAAAAAAAGAAACTTCACAATTTCAAATGTCTATAAAATTAAGTTACTAGTTTGGGTAAATAAAAGTGCAATTTTGCGAGAAAAGAAACTGGATTCTTGTCTCACAAGAAGACAAATAGATTTATTCTTTTCCGTTAGGACAAAAAGGATACAAAACTACAGTGTTTCTAGATATCATTGTGTCTGTGTCATTTTCCTAAGTGTATTTGATCCATCATTCTCTATGTTTTGTTTAGATGGTGTCAAACAAAACTGGGATCATAGGGACCAGAATTCAAATAAACAGAAGTAATAAGGCTGGGGGAAAAATTTCTGGACAGTAAACATGTGTCCTGGACTGCTTCAAGAATATCTGTCTCTTGACAGTAGCAAAGTATCTGCCTTTTGATAATGAAGGTAAATTCACCACCCTTTTCCAAGATGACACAACAGGTATTTTTTTACTTTTCTTGTCATATTGGTTGTAGACACACGTGGAAAGTGAAGTGGGGAATCTCGGCCCTCCCTAGGTCTGCTTTATTCTTTTCTTTACACACCTTCTGTACCCAGCTAGGTGGTGCAATGCATAGAGGGAGGGGCCTAGAGTTAGGAAGACCTGAGTTCAAATTTGACCTCAGGCGCTTATTAGCTGTGTGACCCTGGGCAAGTCACTTAATGCTGTTTGCCTCAGTTTCCTCATCTGTAAAATGAGCTGTAGAAGAAAATGGCAGCCCACTTCAGTATCTTTTCCAAGAAAACTTCAAAGGGGTCACAAAGAGTCAGACATGATAGAAACAACTGAACAACAAAAGTACCCAATTCCCTTCCATTTCAGCTCAGAACTGCTAGATAGCCTGGGACAAAGCAAGGCGGTGAAGGAAAGGAGGTCCGGAGACCTGATGGCCTAAGATGATCCATTTGACAATTGAAAATCAATTATGGGGTTTGCTATATAGATTATTTTGTGACTGGTACCAATATCCCCTGAGGGAGTATTCTAGAAGGACAGTGAATAGAAAAGTCAAACCTTCTTCCTTCCTTGCTAAAAACAAACAAGAAAACAGGCACTTTTGGATCAGTTTTAAAGATACTTTGGTAAAGCCTTTTTATTTTGCTTTAAATTTACATTTTTATGTTGTGGGGTAGAGAGCTAGTGAATAGAGAGCTACCATCAAAGCCAGGAGCATGATAGGATTTCATGCGTCTGATACAAATTAGCTGAGTAACATTGGACCTCTTTGTGCTCTAGGTAGCTAAGAATTCTAAGTTGTGGAGAATTGATAGAGGGAGTTTCTTGACCTGGTAGTTTCCTACAAGTCAGCTTGGTAAACAGACAGAGTTGTGGAGCTTATCTATCTTATTTGCTTTCTTTTTAAAATTGTTTTTTTCCTACTACCCAGCATTCATTTTTTCTTCCTCCCATCTCCCCCATTAAAAAAGAAAAAGAGGGAGAAAAAGAGAGTTAGAAAGGAAGGAAGGAAGGAAGGAAAGAAGGAAGGAAGGAAGGAAGGAAGGAAGGAAGGAAGGAAGGAAGGGAGGAAGGAAAAGAAATTTACATAAGCAATTAAACAAAACAAATTCCCACATTGGTCTTGTTCAGAAATGCATTTCTATCATGGCTGATCATTTCGTTGAGCAGAGTTATTAAATAGTATATATCTAAAGCCAAGAGCCATTATTATGTGTAATAGGGATAAACTAGAATTCTTTCCAATAAGATCAGGGATGAAACAAGGATGTTCATTGTTACCATTTCTACTTAACACAGTGTTAGAAATGCTAGCTATAGTAATAAGACAAGAAAAAAGAAAGTGAGGGAATAAGCACGGATAGAGTAGAAATAAAATGATTACCCTTTGCAGATGATATGGTGATATGGTTAAAAAGAAAACCTTAGAGATGGGGCAGCTAGGTGGTGCAGTGGATAGAGCACCAACCCTGGAGTCAGGAGGACCTGAGTCCAAATCTGGTCTCAGACCAGACACTTGACCGCTTACTAGCTGTGTGACCCTGTACAAGTCACTCAATCCCAATTTCTTGCCCCTCCCCCTCCAAAAAAAAAAAGAAAGAAAAAGAAAACCCCAGAGAGTTAATGAAAAATTAATTGAAATAGTAATTTCAGCTAAATTGCAGGAGATAAAATACATACACACAAATTATCAGTATTTCAGCACGATGCCAATGAAACTCAGCAGAAAGATAAAGTGAAATTCCATTTAAAATAACCTCAGAATGCATAAAATACTTGGAATTTTACCCATCCAGATATGCAACTATATAAATACAATTATAAAACACTACACAGTCCTAATTGGAGAAATTTATTCTTAATAAATAGGAAAAATCAATATAATAAAAAATGACAATGCTGTCTTCCTTCCTTTTCTTTTTTCCCCATCTCTGTACTTCCCAGCACCTAATAGAGTGTCTTAAATACAGTTGGCACTGAATGAATAGTTGCTCATTAAGGAATGGGAGCCTCAAAACAATACTGTAACCTTTTTCCTAGACTATTTCAGAAGATGCCTACGAAATATAAAAGGATATGATAAGTTACAAATTAATTGTTTCAAATGTAGGTCGTTACTAATTAAATTCAGTTAGTTGCATTGATGTTCAATATTTTTAAAAAATCATTCAATTAAAAAAGTCTGTGCTTCCTCCTCTATCTCTATGCCCCAATTCAATTGATATGGTCTAGGGTTGGAAATATACAGCCACAAATTCCCTCTTAAATTTGAATGGTTATTATTGCCCCCCACTGATTCATACTTATTAAAACAATGTTCTCAAATTTCCCAATTCATGCTATTAGTCATGCTTCTATCTCTATTGCATGGATAGCTTAGGGGGGGAGATTAAAAGGATGAATACCTCGATGCTCCCTGTTCTACCTGTCCCACCAATCTCCCTCTTCAACCAATAACTGATTTTTATTTATCACTCGAAAGTGTACAAAGTGCATCGTGTCACTGAGCCTCATGACAACCTTATGAGATAGGTATTATAGGCATTATTATTATTCTCATTTTAAAGCTAAGAGAAGTGAGGCTCAGATCAGTCAAATGACTCATCCAAAGTCATAGAGCTAATAAATGTCAGAGATGACACCTGAATACAAGTATTCTTCACTCAAAGCCCAGCATTCATCCACTAATACCCATCACTACCTCTCTGTGATCCGTCAGAATTCTGACCAATTTCTTTCTAAGGTGGGATTCACAGAATCACAGAATCTCAGAAGCAGATGGGACATTAGAGGCCAGTTAGTCCTCAATGAGAATCCTGTCTATAACATACCCAACAGTGAGGAGGAACCCAAAGCCAAAGCTGACTCTGCTCTCTGTGCTGCAATTGTTCACAGCAAGGAATTATTTCATGCTCTGAGCAAAAGGTGTTTGCAATCCAGCACATTAATTATTAGAAAAATATTCTTTACTTCAAACAGAAATATGTCTCTTTGCAAGTTCCATCCTTTGGTCCTCCTGTCCTCTGTGACAGAGTAAAGTAAGACTAGTCCCTCTTTTACTTGACAGGACTTAAAATAGTTAATAAACTGACCATTTGAGAGCAGTGACCATTATTTTAACTTAAGCCCTGGTACCTAGCACAGTGCCTGGCACACAGTAGGCATTTAACAAATGCTTGTTGATCGATTTATTCTTTGAAGACTGTTATCGTGCCCTCATAAGTCTGTTCTTTTCTAATTTAAGCTCGCTCAGTTCCTTCTGTCTATCTCCAAATGAAGTTCCACAACTTTAATTCGTATCGGGGGAGGGGGACCTCCCTAGAGCGGAACAGGTATTGGCCTGAGACTTAGACCCAGAATTACAGGACTGGAAAAGTTACATTGGTTTCTGACTCCCAAGTGACAAGGCAGCACACAACACCACCTCTTTTGGCAGACGGAAAAGGCATAGCAGCTGTTAACTTATGTGCCAATAAAAATTAGCCCAACATATTTGTCCTTGGGTTGAGGCAATATCCTCAAAAAGGGGCCTTAGAAAATCAATAGCTCACTTTCCACTAACACTTTACAGGTTCAAAGTGCCTCACTCATTCCTTTCCTTTTGACACTCCAATGAAATAGGTCATTGTAAGACCAAATCACATTTCTATAGACTTTAAAGTTAAAAAGCCTTGTGAAGTAGCTTGTCCAAGATTGTTAATTCTTTGGCTAGTGAGGAAAGTCAGACAGCTTAAGGAGTTTACCAATATTCACACGACTAATAAGTATCAGAGACTAGGCTTGCAACTCAGTCTGCCTATTTTTAGCAATATTTCCTTTATACCATGTTTTCATGCAAGAATTATTATTCTCATCTTAGAAGTGGGGAAACTGAGTCTCAGACAAATCCAGACTAAATCCCAATTACAAGTATAATGATCCTTCCATCCTGCTGCCTCTGCCATTGGCCCCACTCCTTTTTTTTAAAAAATCACTTTTTTTTTTTAATGTATGGAATAAAACAAACACTTCCATAACATAGTATAATAAAAAAGACTGCACACAAAACTGCAAGTCTATGTGGACAACTTGCTATTCCTTTTAAACATATGATAGTTATGTAAATTTCTCTTTTTTTCTTCCCTTCCCCCACCTCCTACTCAGAGATGACTACCCCACTCCTTCTTCTGAGGAAGTCAGCAACCTGCATCCTGGAAAATATGACCGATAAAGTTCTTCTGAGTGTGTTTCTCTGAATAACTACTGTTATTATATTATATGTTTCCTCAGCTGGGTTTAGATTAGCATAAGAAATGATGGAAGCTTGTTTGTCTAATTCTGAGCAAATTAATAAACAATAATGATTGAATCTTCCGGGAAAGGAACCCAGAGCTTTTTTCCAACCTCAAGCAGAATGCAGGAATGTGTTAATTAATCTACTGGGTAAGATGTGGGGGAAGTGTAGGAATCAATGGGGGAGGAGGGAGAGAAGGTTTATCTGTAAACCTCTATCAATATTCAGCATCTGAAATTTATTTAGAAATGACTGAGTACATGTGAAGGGCTTAAATTTATGCTTCCTCCAGAAACTGAGGCCAAGTGAAGACAAAGCTACTTCATAATAACATGAACAAATAATGATAATTTACATAGATAGCCCTTTAAGGTTTGTAAACTATTTTACAAATATTGTCTTCTTTGATCCTCACAACAACTCTGGGAGACAGTGCTGTTATTATGCTCTTTTTTACAGGTGAGGAAACGGAGGCAGACAGAAGTTAAGTGACTTGCTCAGGTCACACAGCTAGTAAGTGTCTGAGCCCAGATTTAAGCTCCTTCCTGACTCCTGATTCAATGTTCTATCCACTGAGACATGTCTTAGTCAGTAAATGGCACTGGGTTTATGCTTCACATATGGTGAATTTTCCTAGAACTGTTTGGGACAATAAAGCCAAGCCAGTTCAATTCGGTATTACCTACAGATATTGATGGTGTACCTAGTAGGTGCTAAGCACTGGACCAGAAGCAAGGAAAATATAGATAAGTCAGAGAAGAAGCTATAAAATTATAGGACTAATTACCAAAATGTTAAATAATACTTCAAAATAAATGCTGTTACTTTAAAGTAGATATCTTGGGACGCTTACTGTATACTCATTCCAATATAGCAGCCCTTTAGTGAAACAAATTTGTCTTTCGGAATTCTACTTAGAGACTGTAGTTCATTCATTCGTTTATTTATTTTACTTATCTATGCTATCCTCACAAATGTATTTTATATATAGCTTGCTTATACAAAGTTAGTTGCATATCGTATCCCCCATTAGACTATGAGCTTCTCAAGGAGCTGTCCTCAAGGACTGTCTTTTACCTTTCTTTGTGTCCCCAGCACTTAGCACAGTGCTTGGCACATAAAATGTTTATTGACTGACACAATCAAAATCTTCTAAAACAAGAGTTTTTTCATCACTGGTCTTGATTGAAGGCAAGGAATTCAGAAAGAGAGAAGCAGATTTGGAGAGCAAATAGCTGGCTGAAAATATAGTATGTGAGAATGAGATTTGCATTGCAAGACTGTGGCTTAAGACAGGCTTTTGACCAACGTGTGTGGAATATACCCAATGAGGGCTAGTAAGATTGTATTTTTTTGGGCAGCTAGGTGGTAGAGCATCGGTCCTGGAGTCAGGAAGACCTGAATTCAAATATGACCATTAGACACATACTAATTGCATAACCCTGGGCAAATCACTTAACCTTGTTTTCCTCAGTTTCCTCATCTGTAAAATGAGCTGGAGAAGGAAAGGACAAACCACTCAAGTATCTTTGCCAAGAAACCCTCAAAAAGGGTCATGAAGAGTTGGGCACAACTAAAACAACTGAACAACAACAAGACTGTATTTGCCTGGATTCTAATAAAACTAATCAAAAGGGCTTTAAAAGGAAAACAAATGGGGCAGCTCTTCAAGCAAAGAGTAAATGACTACTTTGCTGTAGAGGAAAAGTCTTATTTAGTTATGGGTTGGATAAGATTGCTTCTGAAACTCCTTTCTGCTCTGCTAGGCTATGGTATTTGTTTATTAAAACCTATTGAATTGCTTTATAGCCACTGCTCTTTACTAACGCCCTTCCCCTCTTTCCACCCCAGAAATCTAGGCAAGGACACAGGCATAAATGTAAGAGGCAAATGACAAAGACAAAGAGTTCCAATACATCCACGCAAAGAATTCGAAAAGAATGTGTCGTTGATGGCCAGCTAGATACTACAGGTAACCAGGCTGACAGAGTCAAAGCAGATATCATAGAGAACATTTTGTGATCCTGAAAAAGGTCAAACTTTTTAGCAGTAACTTGATAATTAAAGGGCATTTCTTTCTTCATAGATTCTGTTTGTCCTGGTAAAATTTAAAAAGCTATGAATCCTTGGACAAGTCTCGGATCTTAGCAAGAATTTCAGCAGTCAGCCAAAAAGTGACTATGAAATATTACTCTCTGATCTGGGGAGTGATCTGGGGAGCCATTCTGAAGCACAAGATAAGAAGGGACCAGACTTTTAATTGATCAAATTTTAAAAGAAATTAATTCCATGAAAAAATAATAAAAAATAAAATTTAAAAAAATAAAAAATAAACTAATTGGTCATTTTTGGATATTCATCTCCCATCCTGCCCTCTTTACCTTCCCCCCACTTCCCCAAGTGGGCTTTCTCATGTAACCAAAATAATAAAGAAAAACTAGCAGACATAACCCTCCCATTCCACTGGAGATGCATCATTGCACACCCCATAGGCACTCGCCTCTCCGACAAGGAGAGTGGTACATTTCTCCATGTCTTTTCTGAGACCAAGATGAGTCATTATGCTTATACAACATTCAGTTTCATTTGATTGTTCTTTTTTTGTTTATGTTATTGTAGTCCTTCTTTACATTGTTTTCTTGGTTCTTGCTTCATGTGGTATTAGTTTAGACATGTCTTCTCCTGTTTCTCTGAATTTCTCCTAATCATTGTTTCTAATTGCACGATAGCATTTCATCACTTTCATGTACCACAATTTGCCTAGCCATCCCCTAATTTTAACTGATTTATAACAAAGGATAATTGTCAATGGAGCAAGTTCTAGTTCACCGACATGTATACCTCAGTGAGTTTCCATTTTCATTGAAAATATAGATTAAGATCAGAGATTTAGAACCAGCAGGAACCTTAGGTCATCTGTTCAGTCATATCTCATCTTTGTGACCCCATTTGGAGTCTTCTAGGTAAAGACACTGGAATGGTTTGCCATTTCCTTCTCCAGCTCATTTTACAGATGAGGAAACTGAGGTAGAGAGGGTGAAGTGACTTGCCCAGGGTCACTCAGCTAGCAAGAGTCTGAGATCGTATATGAACTCAGGTCCTTCTGACTCCAGGCCTGGCACTCTGTCTACTGTACCACTTAGCTGCCCAGAGGGTTATCTAGCCAATCCTATTATTTAACAGAGGAAGAAATCAAGGTCCAGAAAGACGACTTGTCCTAGGGTACATGGGTAATAAATAGCAAAGCCAGGATTAAAACCAGGTCCTCTGATTGTAGACACAAGGTTCTTTCTCCTATAACATATTTCATCTTTGATGCTTCTTAGCTTATCAATTTGATTACAGAAACATGAGGAAAAGAATATGAAGTTCTGAGGTGGACTTTAATCACTAACTCACAGTGGTGCTGCTAAAAGTTCCCTGAACTAACTTTTCCCTGTCCCGTTTCACTCATTGACAAACCAGAGATAATAAAATTGGCCAGACAAATTTTGTTAATAACTAAAAGATCAATACGTGTGCATGCACACATATACGTGTGAAAGTTCAATAAGAATCATTCATTAGGCATTTGCTCTATTCTGGGCATGATTTAGGAACTGAGAACAAAAAGACAAAGGTGAAAAAAATCTCCTAAGGAGCTTCTCTTTCAAAGTTTAGAGTTAGTGAGTTTATCGATCTCTCCTTCAGGCTCTGGAGGGCACAGCTCCTGAAGGGCACACCCTCCTGAGCATGGAAAGATGATAAGATACCCAAGTTTTTCTAATCTCTTCTCCTTCCCAGTATTACCCTACTGAGACAGGAGTAAAACCAAAAATGGAGTGTGAATATGGGTAAACAATTTAACTACCTCAAAGAAGGTGTTTATGTAAATTTCTTAGTATGGTTTCAGGGTGACAATACAGGTGTAGCTACTCTAATGCCAGGACTACTATGGCTGGACCTAGTAAGTCACATTTAGGGGTTATGACTAAGGATATATGTGAGCAAGGAGTCATCAAATGAATAGCACCTTTCGATAAGAAAAAAATATTTGACACCTGCATTCCTTCCGAGAGTCCTTGTCTGACTTGATTCCCATTATATGTCTTTTCTACATCTAAAGAATAATTAGACCCGCAATTCTTTTCAGCCTTTCAAAATGTCTCAGACTCATAGGTGCTTGGTAGTAGAAAGAATGCTGGGTCTTTTTAATTTTTATTTTTAATTTATGGAATAAAACAAGCATTTCCATAATGTAGTGCAATAAAAAAGATGACTGTACAGAAACTGGAAATCTGCTGTGCACAATTTGCTGTTCCTTTCAAATATACAACAAAATTATCATGTATCTTTCTTTTTTTTCTTCCTTCCTCCACACCCTAGAGATGGCTACCATTAAACACAAATAGGCATATATATGTAAAATTATTCTATACATACTTCTATTTATCAGTCCTTTTTCTGGATGCAGACAGCATTTTACTTCATAGGTCCATAGCACCTCTCTTTGTGGTGGCAAAGATCTGGAAATTGAGGAAATGTCCATCAATTGGGGAATGGCTGAACAAGTTGTTGTATATCATTGTGATGGAATACTCTGTGCTATAGGAAATGACAAGCTCAACGATCTTGGAAAAACATGGGAAGACTTTCACAAAATAGTGAAGAGCAAAATGAACAGAACCAAGAGAACATTGTATGTAGTAACAGAATGCTAGGTTTTGATTCAGAGTACCTGGTTCAAATCCAGACTCTGTTACTTACCACTTGTGTGATTTCGGACAAGTCACTTAGCCCTCTGGATCCCAGTTTCCTCATATGTAAAATAAGGTAGGGGGAAGAAATTCAGATATCCAAGATTTCTTCCCACTCTAAATCTACAATCCTGTGAGGAATACTCAGTGATATTTTACTGTAAACTGTGTGGTTGATACTATTTCAGAGAGTTTCAGAATCACTGTTCAATGAACATCAAGAAAAATATTAGAAAACAATAGTAGTAACAACACACAAAGAGAGCATTTTGGTTTTTTCTCAGTAAACTATTATGAGTCTCCCATATTCCTGTTACCGAGACTTTACTTGAATAAATGATCTATAAATCTACTGCTTGAACTTTTGGCCTTGAAATGTCTAATAAATCAGTGTGTTCTTTAATAAGCCTTGGTAAATAAGAAAAAAACAACACTGATGTTTATGACCGTCTAAACAAATAAAGTTAGTTTAATCCACGATATCAGTATCCTGGGTTCAGTTTGCCAGGGAACAACTGGGAAGATGAAGAGATGAGGAGCTGTCGTTGAGTTTCTATGCAAAGCAAAGAATGCCTTTTCTGCTTTTTCTGCTCCTTAAAAGAAAAAAAAAAGGAAACATCTATTAGCTAGCAAGCATCGATTGGTACTGCTGAATGAGAACTACCATACTTAGCACTATGGGGTAATTTTTTTAAAAAAAAGGTAGTCCCTGATCTTCAATTTTCTTGGAAATTATAACCATAGAACTCCAGTTTTGGAAAGGACCTCAGATATCATCCAGGCCAACTAGTGCTTCAGCAGGAATACTCTTCTACAAAGTATCAAAATAGTGGAAGACTGCTTGAAGACCTCAAGGGAGGAAAAACCCATTGATGGCTGCTATAAGCAAAGGGCTCAATTCCTGTCAAAAGTAAAAGAACACATGGTCTTTCCTTGTGTCCAGTGTGGGAAGGATGTGTATTTGTGACCATCATCACCTATGACATTTTTGAAGGATATAAAGGAAAGTGTATACATGGGACAGGGGTGATAATGTAAAAGCAAAAGTAATACAGTGGGACGATAGAGACCCATCATTCTGATTCTACATTGCTATATGCTCTTGGGCAAGTTAACTTATATGAGAAAGATTTGGGAATTTTAGTGAATTGCAAACTCAATATGATCATAGATTCAAAGCTAGAATGGATCTTAAAGCCTATCAGGTCCAACTCAACCCTTCCCAATCACCATCTTACAAGATAGAGCACAGAGATGTTAAATAATTTTTACAAGGTCACACAGCTATTAAGTATTTGAGTTAGGATTTGAATCCAAGTCATTATCCCTCCAAGTTTATTCCCTATCCATTACGCCATGTCAACAGCATCATGAAGCAACCAAAAATAGTGTGATCTTAGGCTCTATTAAGAGAGGTAAAGAGTCTAGGAATAAGGAATTAGTAGTCCTGCTGAACTAAATCCTGATCATACCACATTTGGAGTAGCACATTCAGTTCTGGGTCCTACACTGTAGGATGGACATTGACAAGCTGGAGCTGATCCAGAGGATGGTTACTAGGATGGCAAGAGGACTGGATACCATACCATATGAGAACTAATAGAAAGAATGGGAGGTGTTTAGAAAAAAGAAGACTATATGTGTGTCTGGTTGTGTGTCTGGCAGGGGGAGGGTGAACATATGTTCTGGTCCGGGCCTGACTAAAGTCAGTTCCCTGGTAGTTTAAGTATGATTTTGGAGTAAAATAGGCACTCATACATTATATGATGGTTAATGAAGGGAGATTTTCTTAGCCATAGCAAGAGAAGGTTATTCAACAGGCATAAGCATTGTTAGTTGATCTAAATCCCCTGCCTCTAAGTTGCCCATTGTGGTCTACTAGCCAAGCACCAGACATTATCTGGAGATCACTGTAGCTGTATTCTGTAATAAGGTGGCCAGGAAGTAAAGTCAACAGCTTAAGCCTTTAGTCCTCTGAGCCAATTAAATCTTAAGGATGTTTTCTATGCCTTTTAAAGAAAAACTAGCGTAATCTGCAGGGGCCTGAAGAGGGAGTATATTGTTACCATTACAAGATGATAAATGTCTTCAAGTATTTGAAGGGCTGCCATGTAAAAGAGGGGCCAGATTTGTGTCCTTTGACCTCAGAAGACAGAACTAAGTGCAACAGGTGGAAACTGCAGAGGTAGATTTTGGCTCCATGCAAGGAAAAACTTCCAACACTGCGAGCTGCCCAAAATTGGAATAAGCTGCTTTTGGATATAGTCAGTTCTTCACTGGAGGGTCATGAGTGGAGGTTGGACAACCAATTGCCAAGAGATCACTTTGGAGCATATATTTAAAGCTGGAAGGGTCAGTAAGTCTAAACCCCTCATTTTCTGGATAAGGTATTTGCGGCCCAAGGAGCACAAACAGTTTTCCATGGTCTCAGAGGTAGTAAGTAAGTGGCAAGGCCGTGATTCAAAGTTCCTCTAAGACTAAATCCAATACTCTTTCCACTACCTTCCAAAGGGATTCTTTGTCCTGTGTGGGATTGACTA